CCTGGCCTCACTGCCTGGCCTCCGTTCCTGGCCTCACCTGGCCTCCGCGCCTGGCCTCACCCCGCTCCACGCCTGGACTCTGCTTCTGGCCTCACCTGGCCTCACCACCTGGCCTCCGTGCCTGGCCTCTGTGCCTGGCCTCACCTGGCGTCCGCGCCTGGACTCCACGCCTGGCCTCACCACGTGGCCTCCGCGCCTGGCCTCGCCTGGCCTCACCACGTGGCCTCCGTGCCTGGCCTCCGTGCCTGGCCTCTGCGCATGGCCTCGACTGGCCTCCGCACCTGGCCCCACCTGGCCTGACCCCCTGGCCTCTGTGCCTGGCCTCTGTGCCTGGCCTGCATGGACAAGTGAGGAAGGACGGACGGGAGGGGCAGCGCTGTGCTCTGTCTCCCGTCTCGCCCCTGAGGCTGCTGAAGCAGAGTCCCAGAGCCTCGGTGGCCGAGCCCGCGGGAGTTGCTTTCCCACAGTCCCTGGCCTCAGAGCCCTGCTCTCTGCAGTCTCTGGCCCTTCCTCGGCTTCTGGCGGCTCCTCTGAGGCTTCCGGCGCCCTTACCCTGCACCGAGTGAATCTGGCCTCTGCCTCCACCGCCGTGGGCCTTGGCCTCCCCGCGTCTCCAGGCCCCACCCATCCTCTCTCACGTAAGGACACCAGCCATAAGATTGGGGCCACCTAACTCACCCCGAGGTACTTCGCTCATGACCTCGCCACGGGCCCTTTGCCCATTCCGGGCCCGCCGGCGGCGTCACTGCTCACAGTATCTGCAACGCGTGACTCGGCGCAGCCCTGACCGCCCCACGCCCGCCCCAGGGAAGGTACTGGCTGCTCCTAGGGGAGGGCTGGCCCCCCTCTGGGCCCCGTGGGAGCCCCAGTCACACTTCAGGGAGGACCCCGCTCCGGCGCCTGTTGTCTAGAGGAGACCCCGAAACTGCTGCTCCAGAAGATGCTGCAGAATGATCTGTCCCTGTTTCCTGTTCGCACCTGCGCACACAGTAAGTGCATAATAACTGCTTGGCCACCAAAGCATGCTGAGACCCAGGGCATTGACAGGGTTCGCCCAACTGGGAAGTTCTTTCTGCCCTTTCTGAATCAGCAAACCCAGGCTCACATTCACGCGGGTGCTGAGTGTCTAGTTGGCTCCTACTGTGTGCCAGAAACCCAGACACAGAGACGCCACACGCCTGTCTTCAAAACCAAGATGCCTACTGTGCGCCTCCCTGGCGCTGGCCCGGGACCCGCAGCGTGAGGACCGCTTCGGGGCGCTGGGAAGCACCGGCGGGAGCACGGCCAGGCCCCCGATGGAGCTGCGGGAGCAAGGGTGAAATGTGTCTTCAGCCCAGCGGGGCTCCGGGGAGACGGTGACTTCGCTGAGCTTTGCACTTGGGGGTGGGGAGCCCCCTGAGCCATGCTTTCTAGGGAGATATGCTCTGGGCGATCTGAATATGTATTTGCTGGCGACAGTAAAAATATTGAACTCTGGGCCCTCCCTGGTGGCGCAGCGGGTTAAAGCACAGCACTGAGAATCTAAAGCCGCTTCTGCATGAGTTCGATTCCCGCCTGCCCCGGAGGCGACCACATGGCGCGGCAGACCTCTCCTGACCCGCCCGCTGCTCCCCTCAGCAGTGTACTTTGTCGATCTGCCTGTTCTGCTCCCCGCTCTGTCTCTGGTGAATTCTCTCACTCTCCGCATCTCTGGCCTGTACCCCAGTTCTGTACAAATAAATAAATAAATCTTAAAAAAAAAATATTGAACTCTGAGAAATATATTTGGCAAATAAGAATCAAGTGCTTTTTAAATATTCACACCTTGCACCCACTCATCCCACTTTCTGGAAGGTACCGTCAGGCCCTGGCTGACCTGGAAGCTGGAGCTTGCGGCATTTCCCACAGCGTCGCCGTCTGGAGATGCCCTGAGCAGAGGAATTGGTTTGCCCTGGTGCACCCTCCGCCTGAGACGAGCAGCCGGGCCGCGCCCGCAGAGGCTCACTGTGAAAACCACGTCTGCTCAGAGGCCACTTGTGTGATCTTGAGTGGAAACTGTAGGTTCTAAGGCTGCGTGACTCTGCGGGGAAGTGCCTGCTTATTAAATAAACAAGACGTGAAAGAAGTCCCCAGCAAGCCGGGGTGAGGACAGTCTGTAATCTCACGTCCCTTCTTTCTCCTGCTTTCTCATTTTCTCTGATGAGTGTGTTATCATTCAATGAAGAAAATCAGCACGGAATAAATGTTCTCTCTACAGGTCAGGTGTGTCTCAAACAAGAACTTTATTTTCTGTTCTCTCTCACACGGTAGTGTCCCGTTTACGTCTGCGTTAAGAGCTGTGTAGGTATCGCGATACAGCCTAGCGTGTTGCTAGAAACACGAACCCGTTTTTAGTCCAGATCAAATTATCGTCTGTCTCCCGCACGGATGTGCTTGTTCTGGACCTGTGGTAAGGGAGATCCCTCGGGAGGTCTCAGGTGAGCACACAGGCTTGATCAGAAGTCAGAGGAGATCAGGATTCAGAGCGACTCCTTGGGCTTAGCCCTGGCCACTGTCACGTCCCCCCGACGTGAGCTTCAGGCTGGGCCTGCCTGGGCCAGGGGCCGCGCCGGAACCTGCTGTGAGCTGCGCCCGGGATGAACTCCGCGAGGCAACCGGACAGCAGCACGGGCCTCGCGCACGCGGCCTGGGAGAGCCGCCGCCTGCCAGTGCGGGCAGAACAGGCCGCCCCGGTCCCGCCGCCCTCACCTCGAGGGTGCCCCGCCTCGTCCCCCGCACGCTGCCTGCGTCCAGAGCGCC